CTCATAAATTCTATACCTAGAACACATGGGTATAAGGTCTAGCGGCTGTCTACGTTTGAACCCGTATATAATGTCAGAATGACTTAGGCCAGTGGTTCGGTTTATAGAGTTACTATAAACAAACTCAGAATTAGGCAAAATGGAATCCCAGTCCTTAATTTGCTCGCCAACCAAAGATCGCAACAAGTTACCCAAACTCCTATTAACTACCTCGGTCTGACCATTAGTCTGTGGGTGAAAGGCAGTGGAAAATTGCAATTTAGTGCCCATTTTCATCCAAGGGGTTTTCCAAAAATAGCTAGTGAATTTCACATCCCAATTTGAAACGATGGTTTTGGGTAAGCCATGTAAACGGATGACCTCGTTGAAATAGAGTTTGGCAATGTGAGATGCGTCGGACGTTTTGGAGCAAGGTAAGAAATGAGCCATTTTAGAAAATAGATCTACAACAATGCAAATGGCGTCATTCCTTCGGATAGTTTTGGGCAGGCCTAGGATAAAATCCATACTAACATCCTGCCAAAGACAACTAGGAACAGGCAGAGGAGTGTACAAACCCGTATTTTTTTTTTTTGCGTTGCTTGGCCAGTTGGCAGGTGGGACACCTACTGGCCATCCGAGTGAGATCTCTCTTCAAGCTGGGCCAATAAAACGAAACTCCACGACTTCAATAGTTTTGTCCCGACCGAAGTGCCCAGCGAGGCCTTCGGCGTGGAGTTTACAGACAAGAAATTCCCTAAGGGAGATGCTAGGAATGAAAAGCTTTTGGGCTTTGAAAAGATAACCATCCTCTAATAGGAAATTGTCCACAAGGCGCGTGCTGCCTGTGGACAAGAGAAAGCAGGTCTCCTTGAAGTCGGGGCATTCCAAATAGTCCCTCTTTATTTGGTCAAATCCGACGACTTCAGCTCTCATCTCAGTGGTAGTCATCATACAACGACTGAGAGCATCAGCAGCTCTCAACTCCCGCTTTATGTCTAAGGATATAAGTATACTCATGAAGGAACTCTACCCAACGACCGTAGCGTGCATTTAATTTCTTTTATGAGTTGATATAACACAGAGCTTCGTGATCAGAGAATGAACTCTTGCGGGAGCAAGTAGTGTCGCCAATAACGAAGAGATTGAATCACTGCGTAAAACTCTTTGTCATACGTGGAATAACACTGTCGAATGTCATTTAGCTTTTCACTAAAATTGGTTATTGGGTGACTGTTGACGAATATTTTCGCATCGACTCGACCCCGATC